AAAACCCCTGACCCTCTGTCTGGACAGTACTGATTGGCCCTGTCCTGATCACATGCACTCTCACAAGAAAAAAAAAAAACCTATCTAGCAATACACACCAAAAAGAGCATGTGCATGTGACTATGGGTTCAGTCTGTCTTATCAGGAGATAAGACATGGACATTTGAACAAGAGGAGGGCAAAGAAAACAGAATCAAATGACCTTTTTACACAGTGCAGAGGATTCACCCCTTAGGTTCCACAGTGAATATAACAAGCATTCTTTACTGCATATACAGATTGATTTTACTGTTGTGGGTTTAGAAACACTTTAATATCCCGGACATTTTCTTATGCGTTTAGGGTAACTGCCTTACTGGAATGAGAAACTACAGCCAAGTCACAGATCTCTTGCAGACGGGTTTTCCACTAGAAATGCCCTGCATTTAGTTCCATCCATCTTGCCCTCAGTGCTGACCAGTTTCCCATTCCCTGCCATTAAAAAAATACTCTCCACAGTATTACGGTACTACCATGCTTCACCTTTGATGCTGTTCATAGTGATTTGTAGTAAAACCAAAAAGTTTAATTTTGGTCGTATCATTGTTTCATGCATTTTTCACACACATTTTATTAATTTCCAAATTTTTTTGTCACTATTCTATAAAACACAACATTACAGAGCATAGATTTTTCACCTCACTTGTAAATTTCTGCAGTTCCTTCAGAATTACAATAAACCTAGTTGCTTCTTTGATCCTAAATGCCCTCCTTAATCACTGGACTTTGGTGGATAACCTTTTCCTGGCACCGTCTGGGTAATGCCATATTATTTCAACGAATTGAAATTAAGTGTCTGTGTAGATGGGTTTAGGCTTGTGTTGATGGACTAAAGCAAGCTATTCTTAGGTATATTCAGCTTGCATTTTACATCAGTTTGAGGCATTCTGAGATCTTTTAAAACTCTTTTGATGGATACATTTGATCTTCAGTTTACCTCATTTGACTTTTTTCGAAGTCACATCAACCTACATCAAGCTTCTTTTGCATTCCCATTGATTTGCATGAGTAGAGAAGCTGTCCTGTCGTGTGCAAAAGCCCATGAATCCTGAGCCTAATGGAGATTGTTGCTCCTGCAGAACTTCAATTTCAAACTTCATGATGCTGTTCTAGATACAGTATGTTCTCCAACATAAACTAGAAACGTGTATTTATCTTCACAACTTTTACAACTCAAGTGCAAACAGGCAGACTTATATTATATTGATTATGTGATTTCTAAGGGCAGTTCCATGCACTTTAACATTATGGGCTATTTTGTATAGATCAGTGGCCCAAAAACCAAGCTCAAGTACCTTCTAGCTTGTAACATTAGGAAATATGGAGAAGTGTATGACAAATACTACATACTGCCTGTAGATATCCTTAAAATAGAACTAAAGGCAAAACGTTTTTCTTCATTTTTGAGTAAGGGATGGTTATAACCCCTGTCATTTTTTGCCATCTGTGTCCCATAGGGAAAATTTCCCTTCAATTCCTGTCCCATAGCCAAAAGAAACTGAGAGGAAATCCCTCCAAAGTGAGGAAATACCTGGTCGTCATTGGAATCACCAGAACGATTAGATGTCCCCATTAGAAGATCAACACAAAATTTGAGATTTTCTCTTACTTTTACTTTGGATGATAATGGTGAACAGTACAGATAGAGAAGGTGAATGGCCCTAATGGGAATACAGACAGCAATAAAAACTGGCCTCTCCAGCAAAAAAAAAAAAGTTTTGCTTTTAATTACACTTTTTAAATTCAACTTATTCATTCCTCTTAGCAAAGCCACCTCCTCCAAATTGAAAATCTATAAATAAACCCATGTTCACTTTTAAGTTACTTGCTAATGTAAATTGGGAAATGGAAACTTAACTCAAGAAGCTGGCCAACTCTTTCTAAGGAAAAATGCACCTGGTGAAAAAAGCCAGTTATGTGAAAAATTGATTAGAAAATCTGCATTAATCTAATTTATTAATATAAAATTTCTAAAAGGAAAATATCTCTATCTATATTTTATTTAAAAACAGAACATAAAAAATTAATTCACTTTCTTAATTTAAACCTGGCAACAATTACAAAAATAGTAATACAAATCGTAATGAGAGATGATTACCGTATTTTTCCTCCATAAGACGCACCTGACCATAAGACGCACCTAGGTTTTAGAGGTGAAAAACAAGAAAAAAAAAAAAATATTCTGAACCAATGGACTGCAGACATAGTACAGGGTATGACCAGAGACTGCGGACACAGTTGAGATGACCAGAGAAGCTGCAGACATAGTACAGGAGATGACCAGAGACTGCGGACAAAGTACAGGGGATGACCAAGAGACTGCGGACATAGTACAGGAGATGACCAGAGACTGCAGAAACAGTACAGGAGATGACCAGAGACTGCGGACACAGTACAGGAGATGACCAGAGACTGCGGACACAGTACAGGAGATGACCAGGGACTGCGGACACAGTGCAGGAGATGACCAGAGACTGCGGATTGCAGGAGATGACCAGAGAAGCTGGACACAGTGCAGGGAATGACCAGAGACTGCGGACAGTGCAGGGGATGACCAGAGACTTCGGACAGTGCAGGGAATGACCAGAGACTGCGGACAGTACAGGGATATGACCAGAGACTGCGGACACAGTACAGGGAATGACCAGAGACTGCAGACAGTACAGGAGATGACCAGAGAATGCGGACAGTACAGGGGATGACCAGAGACTGCGGGCAGTGCAGGGATGACCAGAGACTGCAAGACAGTGCATTAGGAATGACCAGAACTGCGGACAGTGCAGGGAATGACCAGAGACTGCAGACAGTGAAGGGGATGACCAGAGACTGCTGACCTTTGGGGAGGGAGGGGAGCGGGTACCTGAATTTGACAGGTACCCGCTCCCACTTCCGCGGAGTTGCCTTCCCTCTTCTTCCCGCCCGGCTTCTGTGACAGAGAGGGTGCCCACTGCGCAGGTGCAAGAAGCGCTTCGCTTTGTGAATGGCCCGGCGCCTTCTGTGACCTTTCATGTGTCCCAGAAGACACCGGATCATTCACAAAGCGCAGCACATTCTCAAATGCGCTAACCCGGCTGTCACAGAAGCCAGCGCGGGAAGTTAGGAGCTGGAGAGCGAGGAACAGGTAAGGCCCTGCAGGAGAGAACAGCTAACTCAAGAGCGGCCGGCCAACTCCCGGTATTCTGACATGGTGGCGGCAGAAAAATACCGGACCGGCCGCTTTACATTCGCTCCATAAGACGCACTGACATTTTCCCCCTTTTTAAAGGGGGAAAAAAGTGCGTCTTATGGTGCGAAAAATACGGTATACTCTAAGGCAAGAACATATACTTTAAGTTCTGCTAAGTGCTGATTGCAGCTGAAGTATCAGCTTGTAGTGAATGGAGCCCAGATGAAATGTAACATGGAGACAAAGAGCTCTTGCTTGCAAACATAAAAAGCCTCTCCGTATTATTAAAAAAAATTATCATTTGACAATCTGTAGGCTTATAGAAACACCGTCTCTTTGCCTATTTAGGGCACAGTGACAGTGTGTCTGTAGAGTGATACACTTTATTACCACTTGTTAGACCAATGCTAGCCAACAACCTTGGATTTCGGTGCTGGCTGCAGCAGAGGCCATGTGCTGTTAGGTGAATGTAGCTGGGTTGTGTTAGGTGTTTACAAACACAGTAAGAGTTATTTACTAAAACTGGACAGTGCAAAATCTGGTGCAGCTTTGCACTGTGCGCTTCAGCATGCATTAACTTCGCATTGTCATTTTACGTGGCCTACCACTTTGTGGCTGAGTTGCTGTTGTTCCGAGTTGCCTCCACTTTGTTGTACTACCACTAACGGTTGACCGTAGAATATTTAGTAGGAAATTTCACAGATGGACTTATTGCATAGTACCACACTTGAATTCACTGAGCTCCTGAGAGCGACCCATTCTTTCACAAATATTTGTAGAAGCAGTCTGCATGCCTAGGTGCTTGATTTTATACACCTGTGGCCATGGAGGTGATTGAAACACCTAAATCCAATGATTTTTAGGGGTGTCCCAATACGTTTGGTAATATTGTGTGTGTGTGTGTATGACCTCACAAATGCGCTTCTGAAAGAAAGGTCAAACATTCCCATAGACACATTCCTAAACCTTATGGACAGCCTTCCCAGAAGAGTTGAAGCTGTTATAGCTGCAAAGGGTGGGCCAACTCAATATTGAACCCTACGGACTTGGACTGGGATACCATTAAAGTTCATGTGAGTGTAAAGGCATGTGTCCCAATACTTTTGGCAATATAGTGTGTATATAGAGGTGTTTGGGAGCCTGCTGGATATCTAAAATCATGGAAATCTGAGAGTCCTGCACTATCAGCCTTCTCTACGATTAAGCCCAGATCAGTAAAACACGTTACAAGGGCAGGTCTCTAAGGCAGGGATTTGGAAGTTGTACACTGTAATTTCAATAAAGATTTTGCAAGATATGATGTCTTCAGAGCAGACCTTTCTTGATACAGTGTCTGCATGATGCAGGAATGGGCTCCAGCAGGCAGTGCCTGGCAAGCCCACAGTGGGGGATTACACAAACAGCTATAATTCAGTGAGACTTGGGAGAAATGTATTTGTCTGTTCTCAATCTTCTTATGAGTCTACAGTGAGCTACACATGTGCAGCTCAGTATACATTCTTGGCACAACTCCGTGCTGGATTAAATGAACTCCTGTGCACATACCTGGGAGTTACGTCATTCTCTTCCATCCAGTCAAGTCAACTGAAGACTTGGCAACTGGGAGATGATGTCAGGTCTGGCGAGGGAGCTCACATATGTTCCATTGCTTGAGTGAGTAATTGTGGACTGTAGTTCCCCTTCAAATGAACACTTTGTACAATGACAATGACCATAGTAAATTAACCTAAATTGATCTGATTGTGTCTGTGTAATAAAAATCTGACCTTTAATGTTTTGAATTCTTTATTTTATGCAGGTTAATGGGAAAGACCTTTCAAAAGCAACCCATGAAGAAGCAGTTGAAGCCTTCCGTAATGCTAAAGAGCCAATAGTCGTTCAAGTTTTAAGAAGAGCACCCCATAACAGAGGGCATGGAAGTTTACAGGAAACACACCTTGTGAATGTGAGCACCCAAACAGACATCACATTTGAGCATATCATGGCTCAAGCCAAACTCAGACCAACCACCCCGCCAGTTCCTGATGTTTGTCCTTTTCTTCTTTCAGACAGGTATGTCTTTTTTTTTCTGCTGTCAAATATTTTTAGTCAAGAAATAGTTAAAGTGTATGCCTAATGTGATAAAAAAATCATGAATAAAATAATAAGAACCTTGATCCTTACTCTGTTAATAGCATCTTTGAACTTTTTCTTCTTAACGTCTAATAAGCACTAACAGCTACATGAGGCCACACAATACAGCCAACATCTTGGTTCCAGCTGCACATAATAATCTTATTTGACTTCATGCAGCTTTTTCTCATCAATAGAGCCATGTTGAAGGGTATATGACACATCCCGTGTTCCTAAAATCTATCTTGAAAATGAAAAGAAAGATGATATTCTTTTCCTAATCAATCTTTGCCTCCTGGACACCATGTAGAGATTAGACAGATAACACAAACTTGTAAAAGAATTGAGAACGCAAGCACCACATCAAGCCATTTACTTCCACTCATTGTACAAGAAAGTATTTTCAATTTATTGCAAAGTGTACTTCTGTATTTATTGAAGTTATTGTGTCCACATTTTCCCGAATATAAAATGTGGACATGGCTTCATTAGCAGACAGACTGAGTTTCAAAAAGACAGATTGGAATCCTGCAGCTGCGGAACACTGCCAGCCCTTTGTTATGAATGTACTGCTGTATTTCTTTTGATTTGGTGCACAGATCATTGCCTGGAATCCAATTTAAGCTATGAAAATGACTACTCTAAGTGTGCAGTAAATGAAAAGAAACATATCTTTTTGTTCAGTGTTTCTTTAGATTAGCAACCCATCCTAACCTCTTGAAATGAGAAAGCCACAGATAAGTTTGTCATATTTTAATTAAAAAGAAGAACATTGTCTCATCTGGCCTTCTTGCACCAATTTTTTCCCATATAGCTGCCATTCTCTTCATCCAATGGAGCATGAATTTTATGAAGGTAATGAGTATCTTTCCAGCCTGCCTGGTGATGGTGATAGAACTGAAGACTTTGAGTACGAGGTGAGATCATTTTTCATTATGGCTGATGGTTCGCATTTCTCTGCTGGCTTAAGAGATCTCATTAATAATTATGTTTACATGTTTTATTTGCTGTGTCTAATCACAAAGTGCCTAGTGTATATCTGCTTTGTGTCAAAACAAACTAAATTGCCTCTGCCATTTTTTATAATGGTTTTCCTATAGTCTTGGTTTTCAATACTTAAAGCCTCTTGTTTTTTGTTCTGTTTTGGGGTAATTATGATTAGCGGTGTGACTAATATAATTTCCAAACCTTGATTATTTTAAAACGAATGATGAAAAACATTTACGCAATCAAAAAGATTACTAATTATTATCCTTTATCATTAAGCAAGTGTAAAGTCACAACAGCACGTAATGGCTTATTTAAAGTGCATGTCAAGGCAAAATACAAAAGTACATTTTCCTAAGTTTAATCACTTTAAAGACCCTGTAGAACATAAAATTACCTGTTGATCTGCCAGAAATGCACTCAGCTACTAATTTACTTTTGCAAGATGGTTAGGTCTATTCTGTAATCCAGGATAAGGCTGACTGGACTCTGAGATAAGACAGGCAGCTTAAATAGGACACAGGACAACTCTGAATTTCTGGCATGGTCAACAGGTATTTCTTTACACTAACTGGTCAGATATAACAAAATTATTGTAAGGGTATATTTAACAGACCAAAAGGAATCATCCACTGGCTTTGACACTCTATGTACAAGTATGCACATTGGAAAAAACAGAATTCTTTATCCGCATACTTTTTCTGGTCAGTAATTCAAACAATTGAAGCAAGAGGGTCATAATGACAGAATTCATTGTCCGTAACAGCAGTTTGAAAATGACCCAATGACTTTGATAAGGTTCAACTATCAAAGTTTAGTTCCAAACACACTTATACCGGTTCCATTATGATTATGTTGTTGCTGATCATGGCAGTTATGCTGTTTTAGCATATGGTGAACAGAAGATACTTATTGGAATTGTTTTTGAAAATATGCAGCAAAAGGTTTTTCATACAGCAAATGTTGAATTTTCATGAGTTGTTTTTCTTCTGAACATTGCACTATGTGCTCACCAAACTCATCCTGACAAGAAAACCCATTTATAAGGAAAGAAATAGAAGTCATTTTGTAAGGTTACTGGAGAGCCTTCCATCTGCTAAGAGTAAAGCAAATGTCTTTTATGAAGCATTAATATTACCAGGTCATAATCATGGGCCAAGGCCTGCAAGGCTACAGATTACACATTTGTGCATATGACCTTACCTCAGTAGCAACTACCAGACATGCATATGAAACATTTGGCTTGGAAGCGCTAAAACATTTGAGTCAAGATATGATTTCTATTGTAACTGGGCTGTGTAAGAACACATAATAGCAGTTTTTCCAAACCTGTGCTCAAATCTTGCAACAGTGCATTTTTTTTTTTGCTAATTAGTGGGTGATCTATTTGACGTGGATACTGTATCTATAATACAATAGCTACTGATGAAACATGCTTGAGAAACACTACATTATATGACAAGATTAGAGACTAGGGTTACATGCACTTATTTAACATAACAGAAAGAATTTGAGGTCTTAGATTTTTTTCTCAATTTATTTTTTTAACACAATACATTGTATTTAACATTTTACAGGGATTTACTTTACTATGTTTATAGGCTGTTTGTGTAGCATTAATATTGATGCATTATCATTGTGAGCTTAAAATTATTTAGTTTGCATTTTGGTTGCAATATTTTATTTCAATTTTTTGGTTAATATATGAACTTTTTCCACAACATTTATGGATCTTTACCAAGGGCCTGAATTTATATATTGGCTTAATGCCATGCTACTTTGTCTTCTAAGCATGTTCTTTATAAGTAACAGAGCTCTGATTTGGCTCTGATTAAGGACGGGTATAGACGGATCTTTCAGCTCATAAACCTTATTCAACATTCAAATCCCACTCCCTCCTATAATTTTAAAAAATATTACTTATACTTACCATTTTTTTATTAGTATTTCATATACACCCACCTTCTCCCTTGGTTCTCACCTAGGTGAGTGTGACATTTGAGCCTCCTTCTGCAGCCTCCTAGGATATCAATGTCACATAACCAAAGAAGCATCAGCTTCCATACAGAATGGAGGTCTCATGTCATCAAAAGGGTGGTTGCAAGAACTAGGAAGAGGCAGCTGGCTCCTTCAGCTGTCTCCCAATGACATAGTAGAGAAAAAATTGCCTTTGGCTGGGCATGCAGCAGTGGAGGGGTATTAAAAAGTAGGTTGGCTGGGCTTGTAAGTATGTTTATTCTTAATTACACAACCAAAAAGGAAGGCATAGTTAAGAAATATTTTGGCTAAAGAAGATCCACTTTAAGAATTTGAACTGTACCTGCATCAGGCTGTGCCTATCTAAAGAATCTCAATAGTATGCAGGATGCTTTGCACTACATTCAGCAAAACTGACAAACGCTGTTGCACATAGAGGGAATATTGCTTGTAGGGTTCAATAAGCCCTATACACAGCTGGTGAGAGAGGGTCACTACAGTAGCACAAAGCACGGCCTTATGCTAATGAGGCACAGAGGGTCTCATAAATGACTTTAACACAGTTTCTAAATGGTTAGCACTTCCATATGGCAGAACTAGGGTCATTGGTTCAAATCCCAACCATGGCACCACCTGCCTGGAGTTTGCATGTTCTCCCTGCGCCTACGTGGGTTTCCTCTGGGTACTCCGGTTTCCTCCCACACTCCAAAGACATGCTGGTAGGTGGATTGGTTCTTGTCTAAATTGGCCCTAGTATGTATATGTTTGTGAGTTAGGGACCTTAGATTGTACACGTCTTGAGGGTTAGGGACTGATGTGAAGTTACAATATATATGTAAAGCGCTGCGTAAATTGACAGCACTATAAAAGTAACTGAAATAAATAAAATAACACCTGCACTATGATACTTATTCTGATTCTATGTAAATTACTTTAAAATCACCCTGTACTATACTGTGGTGAATAATAAGTGTAGCCACAAGAGCTTTATATGATAATGTTATGCTGAGATTTTTATTTTGTTGATGGCATGGCTGGTGCCATCTCAGTTAGTTAGATGGTGAATACACACAAAAGAATGATATTGCAAGCAGGTCTCTAGTTTCTGAATAGTACAATCATTTATTCTAGTTTTTGAATTTGAGACAGACTCCAGCATACTAAAGACTCAAAGAGTTGATCTTGTGATTTGCAAAGCCATTGACATTGCAAGAAAACAAGTGCCCGCTGAGGCTCAGTTAAAACATACAAGTGAATAAGACACATTAAAGAGGGCAGAACTGTGGAAGCTGTGCCCAAAAAAGGCAAGCAGACTATTTACTTTTATTGCCTGTAGGCTCCCTGCAGCTTGTATTTTCCCTATTATCCCCCTTTTATTTCTTGTTTTACACTGTATCTATGTGTGGAAGGCCCGTCTTTATAGAGAAGCAGGGCTTTGCATTCACAGATTCCTCTCTTTTTAGATATTTTACTGCTCTGGGACAACAATCTAAGCAGGGCTGGGACAAGGTGGGGGAGGGGCATGTGCCCAGGCGCTGTGTTGAGGGGGGCATGTTTGGTGATTTGGCTACTCATCTGGCTCCTCAATGACAGTAGTGACTACAGCATCACATCTGTCAAAAGGTGCAGGTGCTGCTGCTAGAGAGTTTTCTCCTCCCTTTAGCCTACAGGGAGCGGGATAGAACTGGTCTAAGTTTCAGTGTAGGGCTGCTGGGGAGTGCAGCCTGCTCTTCTTCCTCTTTTTCTTTGTCATTTGATAGGTTACATAGGTTACATGTCTAATGAGGGGAAGACACTGCCTTCATTGCAGCTGAGAACAGTATGTGTGATCTGTGAGTACAAGGGGGTACAAGTCCTAGTCCTCCCTTCTCCTCCTCAGAACCCCTTAGCCTCCACTCTCTTACCCTAGATTAATATTTGTGTGTGTTTGCAGGAATGTTTTCAAAATTGCATGCATTCCTGCAATGCACAAAAACACAGACGTGCAGTGGCTCACTTGCCAAAGCCAAAATGCATGGTAACAAAGTATCATGCACTTGATGTGGCGTGATTTTTTTAAAAAAGCTTCTTTAGTATTTTTAGTGTGTAGGGCAGCCCATTGAAATTAATGTTTGCCATTTTTGCCCTGTGTCTAAGAATCATGAGTTTACCATATAGTATCACCCTTCAGAAGCAAAAACTCTTTTAATTTCTAATGATATAATTCAGAAATTCAGCTTACAATTATTGTAAAGCTTATTTTTTATTAAAATATTAAACGTTATACTTACCTGCTCTGTGCACTGGCATTATACAGAATGGCCCAAACCTCAAAGGTATCCTGCTGGTGGTTTGGCATTCTTTTCTCAGTGCATCATCATAGGAATTGGAGTGCACCTGTGGAGTCACTCCTGAACTGGCCTTTGTGCATCTATTGATACACACTGTGCGGCTTATTCCCACCCCCCGATCCCTCTTCAGAGGATTTGATTGACAGCAGCAGGAGCCAATGGTTCCCACTCCTCTCGCTGAGTTCTGAGAGGAGAGGAAGAAAGAGCAGGGCTGCTGCACTGGGGCACAGTGTTGGATTGAGACAGGACTCAACAACCAATAACCAATGGGATTTATTTAACCTTTATACAGGGAATGAAGGTAAATGAAGGTTAAAAAAGCCCTGCCTTTACAACCATTTTAACAATTTTCTAAATAGCATTTTAATGAATAGATAAGAACAATAGTGCAGGAAAAATTGGCAGAAAGTATATTACAAACTAAACAATGGCAACAGTAAAATAAACTGGACCCTGCGTAGCAGGAATTTCTGGACCTGGAATTTACAGTGGAGGAAGTTGATGCTGTCATAGCTTCTTTCTTCTCTTATAAGTCTCCGGGCCTTGATGGGTTTCCTATAAAGTGGTCTAAAACAAATAAGGAAGTTCATATTCCCCGTCTACTGAATATATTCAATGCAGCT